ATTCACAGATTGTACAGCGGGCTTGCATAACAAGCTAAGTGCAACCCCCCCTCCCCCAGTTATGTATGGTAGCCTACCAGGAGCTCAGTAAATTCCTGCTTTTGCCTCCCTTTTAGCACTGTAAAAACAGACTATAACTTAGGCTGGCCACAATTCATAGCTAGAGTGTTGCATTCAACTTGCCAGGTCACAAGTTATGTAGGCCTACTGCTCATGGCATACTACTTGAGGGAGGTATTTTGAAAGGTCTGGCAGAAAAGCAGGAAGGAAATATCTTGCTATGCAATGATACCCCCACTAGGGCCTCTGATACCCAGTTCTCTACTGAGCCACCAATTCATGATCAACTTTATAGATATCAATTGGATTGGACATTATGTTCTTATATAGATAGGAACTCTCGGTCTGGGGAAAGTGATGCACTGTATTCTTGATGCTTGGGGGTGGGCAACAGTGGGAGGGCTTCTAGTGTCCTGGCCCCACTGGTGGACCTCCTGATGGCACCTGGTATTTTTTGCCACTGTGTGACAGAGTGTTGGACTGGATGGGCCATTAGCCTGATCTAACATTGGCTTCTCTTATGTTCTTATATTTAATATTTCAGTCTCTTAATAAATAAGTACTAAAAAGATTACTATAAATGCCACTTTCCAATAACTATATACAAGCTAAACTACTTCATGTTTTCTCAGTTACAGCCAAGATCTCACTTTTCAGAGGGCTGTTGAAATTCTTTATGAATTTCAGTATCTTCTCAGAATTGTGAGATCTGAAAGGGATCTGGAATTTAGAACTGCGTATTCTTTTAGAACAGGAATAGGATTTGCCAGAAAACAGCCCACTATGGGAGAGGACCCTCAACACATACTTAAGTGATATATTGATTTTTTATAACACATTAGACAGGTCCACATTTTCTTACCTTCACTAATGCTATATGATTAAGTGTTCTAACACAATGCACTGGTTATTCATAATTAAAACAATTCACTTAATAAAGTCAATGTATAAAGACTCCCGCTAGCCACACAACAGACTCCTTTGTAAAGGTTCAGTTGTGTATTAAGCGTTTCCAGTTCCACTTTTGTTTGTAAAGATAAGCCCATTCTAACCATAGTAAGGAAAATACACAGAGAATTTTTGTTGCTCTGTGATATTTCTTCGGTCAACAGTTTCTGTATTGATACAATCAAGGGACTAACAAAACAGGGAAACTCACAGAGTTTGCTAGTTAAAATTTACTTTTAATAATGAAGTTAAAGTATCCAGAGTGCCACTCCCTCTGTTTACAAGGGCTGGGAATTTTACAAACACTATTGAGTGAACTTTGTTCTGGGTGTGTCTTAAGCCAAGAGGAGTAAAAAAATACAGAGATAAGACTGTAACCCTCTCCTCACGACCAGCCTACAAGGTGAAGACATTCCTTGGTCTACTCAATGTACTCATGTTTACACAGGCAGACATAGAACCCTTAATCCATACTCTTTATCCACCCCCTTCGGAGATTAGTAACTTTGCTCACAAGGCACTCTCCTAACAAACTCCAGCAAAGACTTTGATGTCAAGACTTATACTCATTTACTTTTCACAGGGACATGAGAATGGTAGTCTGCTTCCAGAATTCTTGGCATACCTGTGTCTGATCAGTGACTAGTCACCAACACAGGCCAGTTCTTTTCCCATTGGAAAAACTGCATGTAGAACTTCATTGACAATAAAAGTCCTGCACAGCAGCAGCCCTTAAAATGTTGTATTAACAGACAAGCCTAACTGTGTCTTGATTCTGCAAACACAATGTGAGCCATGCAAACAAGCCTGCACAAAACAGGGTACAAAATAGAGCTGTTGTCGTTCCACAGAGGTTCTACACTAATGCTTTCACCTTCTCTGTGCAAGTGAACCCAATAAGAGAGAGAACATGGTTAAAAGAAGAAAAGCCAGTACAAAGAATATGGAACTGCTATACAGGAAAAAGGAGAACACATAGTTTTCCATCTGTCCCTAAAATTTTCTAGCATCCCTATTCAGAATATTAGAAGGGGACTGATGAGGAAGAGGGACTCTTAGACTAAAAGCCTACAGGGGAAAACAACATTTACCTTTTCTTCAGGAGACTTTATCACACTGACAACTCGTTGCACCACAAGCTCAAGAGGCTGAGAAGCTGCATCTTCTTCAAATGTAAATATGCGTGAATCCTGGCGGGGGGGAAGCAGGAGATTTATTTTACTAATACCGGTACCCCTCTTAATATTAAAATACAAAGTTCACAAAACCATTCTAAACAACTCAAAGTGATCAAGTATTTGGAGTGCAAGAAATAAAAAAGCTGTGGCACACAGTATTTGCTAAATGGAACACACTCCTCTCCACAGATGTGGTAACCACCACCTGATATTGCAAAAGACATAAGCAGTCCCCAAGCCAGTGTGGAAATCTAATCATTGCAGTCGAGTTCATTGCGATGAAGTTGCATTTAACAGCAGTCAGTGATGGCTGTTAAATTAACTTTATATCTAAGGATGTTTCAGTGAAGCAGCTGAAGCAAAACAGAATTTCACTGGCTTCCGGATGAAGGCATTGTTTTGAGTTTGGAAAGCTCAGAGAGGAGAGGGAGTAAAACACATTGCACTGCCAGGCAGTGAACTCATCAAAAGAGGATGCAGTTGCTTTCTTGGAAAGGATGTGTGTACGTATGCAAGGCATTGTTACTCTCCTATCAGTTTTCCTACAGTTGGACTTCCTAGCACATAACCCACCTTCCTAATTTATAATCTGATCTATTATTTTAAAAGACTAAACTACTATTACTAAACAAGCTGCAGAAATATGAATTAGGTAACAGTGCAGGGCAGTTTAAAGGGGGAAATGAATAAGTGATCTCTCAGGGTACAAAACAGTGTTCACAACTAGGAGAACATTAAGGAATAATTCATTTTATTTGTTCATGTTGATGTTCAGCCAAAAAGGCCCTCAATAAAACAAAAGATCTACAAGCTACAATAAAACTCAAGAGCAATTTTTAAATAACCATTAATTAAACCAGGGGAGAAAAAAAAGTCCTATGGGTGCGTTCAGACTCACTGTTTGATCTGGCGTCGTCATGCTTCAGCAACGGATTTTATATGCATGATCACACAGTCAACATCTGCCTCCCGTCCCCAGCCGTTGGTTTCCGGCTCAAAACCGCTTTAACCTGGAGTATTTTGTTACCAGGTCCCAAAGTGGTGTTTTCTCAGCTCTCCCGTTTAAAGCTGCATTTTCGCCGTGTGATCACTCCTCCAGTGTCAAGCCACTTCCAGTTTAAACCCCCTCCCCACTTGAAAGCTGCCCGAGGCTTCTGTTTTTTGCCCGCCATTTTTTTAATGTCTTAGCGGTGTGCGCATAGGCGGAGCTCTGCTACCATGTTTAGAAAATCAACATTTAAACGGTCACTTGTTTTAGAGTTTAGATGAGTTCGGGCTCTCACGAAGGCCATTTTCGGGTCAAACTTTTAAAGGGAAGTCTTTTGTTGGAGGAGTTGGATTGATTCACCCTGGTGGTTCTGCGCATGCGCCATGATAGTTCCCCCCCCATTCTACGGAGGGGCGCCTATGCGCATGCGCAAACTGAGAAAAAAATAAAAAACTCGCCGACGCACACTCCCATGCATCGGTAGTGTAGACGCCGGGGAGCAACGTGACTGCACGGTGAGGCGGGATAAGGGAGGTAAGTGTGATCGCAATTATCCAGATCAAATATAATCCAGTTAGAACCGGAGCAGTTTAACCCTCTCTCAGCACGCCGTCTGACCGCACCCTACAACTGTCAATTCAGCTCAAAGGCCTTCTAGAAAGGCCTTCGTTAGTATGGAAGGTTTGAAGAATGGAACCACTCTCACCTCCTGATGAAAGCAGTTCCATAGTTTGGGGGTGAACAGCTGAAAAGGCCCAACCTTGGGTCCTCCTGAACAACCTCACCAGATGAGATTAGTTCCCAGAGAAAAGCACCATCTCTGGGTATCTCTCAGAGCTCAGGCAAGTTGATACAGGTTTAAGTAGTCCTTCAGGTAATTGAACCCAAGCCATGAAACTTTAAAAAGCATAAGAGCAGTACCTTAAATTGAGACAGGAAACAAGCTAACAGCCAGGGATGTGCTCATTATGGTTAAGTATCAGCTAATCCCATTGCTGCTGTGTTTTGTACCACCCGAAGTTTCCACTGCTATTTCTACACTGTTCACTACAACATGTAAGTGATTTAGGGGAGAAAAACGTCATCAATGTTGAGGGTATTTGAAAGCCATATAACAGAGTTAGGATTGTGCCATAGATTCAAATGTTAAGAACACATCATGTTCTGTTGAAGCGTTTCCCAAGTTTCAGCATGTTTAGTCTCACAACACAATACTGAGTGCCTCTGGAAAGTCATAATTTCAAAGAAATATGCTATCATATCAGAGCAATCCACTACATATTTCATTCAATGCAACTACATGCTTAATTTTGAATGTTTAAGGCATACAGGTCACCTTGAAGCATTACTTGCAAATAATATGGGTAGAGCACAAGTCCCTGACAAATAACGCCTTAAGCTCTTGGCCAGATATACTACCAATATGCATGGCGCCTCAGACTGCTAACATTCCTGATTCCAAAGCATTGTGTTGCAAAAACTGCTAGCCATAGGTAACGGAGAAAAACAGAGAGAGAGTTCCTCAAGAAGCCACTGCCGGTGCCATTTCAGAATTAAGCATGCCCAATGCAAGGCCAGGGGCAGCCGCTTACCTCCTCCCTTAGCTTGGCTTCCCAATTCAGCGCAGTTATCCAGGCTTTCTGCCACTCGCGCCTCCAGCTGTTCAGAGACAGCAGCCAGGCGAAGAGGGCGTCCTCGTCCCCTTGCAGAAGTTCCGAAAGGGGCGCGGGAGGAGGCGTCTCCCCGCGTCGCCCTAGGGTGCTCAGGCCATACTGCACCAAGTACACGGCTACGATGACCACGGCAGCCACAAACAGGGACAGCAGAGAGAGCCACCGAATCTCACCCAGCCAGTAGAGCAGCCAAGCCATGACTGACCATCCCTAGGGCTGCCGTTGCCCCCACTCCCTCCTGTCTCTGGGCTCGGGGAAACGCTTCACATGGCAGACAGGCTGCCTCCCCGTCCGCAGAGCCTCCAGGCGTTTGCTCCCCGGCAAGCCTAGATAATCCTTCCGTCCCCTGAAATAAACTGTAAACAGCGGGCAGAGGGGAGACGTGAAGACGACGGGAGGCCGGGGAGAGACATTTGCCCCTCGTTAGAGCGACCGAGAAGGCGCGACTGTGCACTCGGGGGAAGGAGCCGGGCAGCTGCGCCGAGAGAAGCCAACGTCACAGGACCTGCCCCACAAAACAGGCGAGAGACGCAGGGAGAAGCGTGCGTTTAATAGGCGTTGCAAACAAAGCCAACTTCCCAGCCCAGAAGACCAACAGCAGAGAAACGAGGCTTTGGCGCTCCTTCCTCGACAGTGGCCGTGTCGTCCTACTCCTGACGCCCTCGCGAGTCTCCTGTACCCAGTTCAGGCCCTGCGGATAAACCGTGGGACAAGGCATGACGCGAAGAGTTTCGCGGGAACCCTGTAGGTCTGCTGCCGATTCCACATAATGCTCTTTCCAGTCAGCCTAGAAAATCCCCCCCCCCATTTGCTTCTGAACGGAGCTGCCTGCAGAGAAAATGGGGGGGGGGGAAAGACTTCCACCTGGACGCGGTGGCGACCGCTCATTATTCATCTGCCCTTCCCAGACTGCACTTCACGGTCCTTAAAGGCGCAGCAAGCTGCGGTGGGCAACCACACTTTACTGGCCATTTCCGCACTTGCTTGTCCCTATTGCTTCAGGGTTTGGTCCTTCCCAATGTGTTTTGCTCTCTCTAGTACTCCCAGAGGCAGCAAAATACTTGTGGAAAGGGGGAGGGAACCCAATGCAACAGGGGAAAACAAGCGACAAAAATGGCAGTGCGGATGACTGACAAGACTGAAAACGGCGGAGGGCTTTGAAGCCGTATAAGGAAAGGATAATAAGCGGTCGGGTCTTGTGCATTGTTAGTCAGGCAAAAGTTTCACTGTTTTTCAGTGATGCTCCCTTAAGAATGTATAGGGTTGCTTTTCCAATCCTCACCCACAAATACAGCTCTGTTGGTCCTTTTATTTCTCTCACACCTTGTATAGTATTTTCAAGATAGACCAATAAGTGCATATTAGCTTGCAAATTAGTAATACAGTGTCCCGAAAGCATTAATTGATCAGCTTCATTTATGGAATGGCAAGTTAAACTGCTTTTAGATCAGCGATACTCTGTGGCTTGGGAACCACATGTGGCTCTATGACATGCCACCTGTGGCTCTCCTGAGCACCTGTTCCCACAGTGGTACCTGCCCGGTATTACAGGAAAGCAGGCAAGGCCATTGCTTGGTAAGGCTTGTGGCTGGCAGGTGGTTGCCACTTTGAAACACCAGAGGGACTGGAGGATTGTAAACTGCCTCTGAGCTGTGGGCATCATGCCAGGGTGGAAGTAAATGGTCCATCCTCTCCAACAACCTCTCACTCTCTTTTGCAGCCTCTGCACTCTCAAAGCTGTCAGGAGGAAGCAAGCTGGCTATAGAGAAGAAAGTAAAATTAATCATGGCTGCCACCCCTATGGGCAAGAGCAAGCTGGCCACGGTGATGTGGCGATTTTACTCCCATTTCTCCACAACCACCTTGGCAATCTCTCTCTTTCTCCTGAGCCCTTGAGCCTCAAGCTGGAGTGAGAGGGAAGCCCTTCCCTCAGTCCACATATAAGGACTCACTGCTGTTCAACAATGCTGGCAAGAGACAAATCTCTGTTAGCCGCCCTGAGCCCACTGGGAAGGGCGGGATACAAGTGTAAAAAATAAATAAATAAATAAATCTAGATGTTCAAAGGGAATGTGGTAATTTAAAAAGTAGTTATATATTTCATATTAATATTTTACATTATTGTGTGCTTGGTGGGGTGGTGCACAGGACAAAACATAGTCTTGTGGCCTTTCTAGTGGATGATAAATGCAAATGTGGCTCTCACAGTTTTAGATTAAATCCTGAGTCCCCACAGCTAGCCACCTGTCTGTTTACAGCCATGTATACTCCAGGTGTTGTCTCTGTGACTTTATGTTTATTACTGTTTTGAATATAAGCTTTTGTGTGCATGCACACTTCATGCACATGAAAGCTTATACCCAGAATTAAACTTGGTTGGTCTCAAAGGTGCCACTGGACTCAAACTTTGTTCCGTTGGTTCAGACCAACATGGCTACCCACCTAAATCTATTTCAAATAGTAACATATAATGAAAAAAAGATGTGTTGTGTAAAGCAACAAGTGAGATGATTAGATTATGGATTTATAACATCATCACACAAAAACAATCAAGATCCAAGGAAACCAGGTTGTCATTCCACCGACACACAAGATAATCTTCTTTTAAAAGAATTAAATGAGGGAAAGATGTGGTACTTGTTTAGGGGTGGATTCAGGGCATTTTTTACTTGAGGATCTGTGAGAACCTATTCCCAGAGGTTCCTGATTGTGCTGGATCTATGATTTTTATAACACATTCAGAGGTTTGGATTGATTTTGGGATGCCATTGTTTAAATGAGGACCCAGGTTCTGAATCTAGGCTTTCCCATTGCAGTACCACCATTAGATGTTGGAATACCCAATATATAGTATGCATTTGTTCATGTGAATGTATCCTCCTGAATCCAGTCTTTTGGGAAGTATAGGCTGGTTGAGGACCTACTGAAACATTCATGCGTTGGATTCGGCCTGCTCTGCTGGTCCCACAGTCATCTTGGGATGGTGGACAAGGCCTGGTTTCCATGATGCAGTCTGCAACAGTGTCAAGAGCCTTGCTTCATCATGGGAATTGGTAGTGAGAAGGGAAGGATCTGATGGGATTTGGACTGCTGGCAAATAAGAATTGGAGCTGACTCAATCCTTCTTTCAAGGCTTCTGACAATAAGTGAAAGAGCTGTGACAGGATTAAAATATTAGTTGGTGTTGAATGCAGTTGAAGGAATTAAGAATCTTCAGTGGACCGTCACTGGATTCCTAGATGTGTAATTTAACTGTAAAGCAACTGCAGGAGAGTCTAATATGGATCAGGCAAGATGGGTGCTTTGCTGTCTCCCTCATGCTGTTTTCCTGATTAGAAATCTCCCCCGGGGTGGGGGGCTAACTTTAATCCCTGTAGGGGTAAAAAAGACAAGGACCCAGATTGTGCTTCTCTTTTCCTCCTATAGGAGTTAAAACCAGTCTTGGTGGTGGTAGGGGGAACATTTTCAATCAGAGAAATAGCACAATTGTTGCCCCTTGGACTCATCATTGGTCCAGGAAATCTATTGTTCTCACCTGAGACCAGCCCCCAGGACCGCCCATTGGTCTGCATTGTCTTCTATAGGGTATATCCCAGCATAAACATGTCCTAAGACCATGTGTTTTCTGCCATAATCAAAATGGCAGTCCACCCCTAAGCTCTCTGAGTTTAGGCCACAATCCATGGACCTCTGCACATCTGGACAGGTTGTATCACCCCTCTATAAGCTATCTCTATAAGCTATCACTCACCTCTGCTTCTTATTGTGTGTGTGAGTGTTTGAATATTGTTTGTATGCTTGAGAATGTTTAGTAAATAAATCATTATTTTAGCCACCCAGTTTCTGTGTCTGTTCCTGGGTTCTTGGGAATTCTAATTCTGGTATACACAGGTCAGGTCCTATAGATAAGCCAATTGCATATTAGTGTTTGAATATTGTTTGTATGCTTGAGAATGTTTAGTAAAGAAATCATTATTTTAGCCACCCAGTTTCTGTGTCTGTTCCTGGGTTCTTGGGAATTCTAACTCTGGTATACACAGGTCAGGTCCTATAGATAACCCAATTGCATATTAATAATTATAACTCCACAGTAGCCTTCCCTGTCTGCTTTTTGCCACTAAACAGTTACAGATCCCCAGCATCTCACATCTTTTGGCGCTTAGTCCAAAGCAAACATTCCTGAGGTAAACTTGCATACTCACAGGACTATGGGAAGCGTCATTTAATTGCATGATTCTGGTTTGTCTTGTTAAGATGAGAAGTTCTAGCTGTAAAGCCACAACTATTTTTCAAGAATCTTGAAAGCTGATTGACCCAACCATAACAGAAATTCACAGATTCAGTTTAAACTTTATTTATATATACCAAGGGGATGTACTTGAAGCTCAGCCTTTTTGATATTCCCACCAACAGAGGTCAGCCCAGTAAAAGTTTTTACATTTGTTGCTTTCAGCCTTATCCTCCTAAGGCAGCCAACCTTCATTCAAACACATCACTTGAAATTTTTTTCCTATTCTGCTTCTGTTGATGTGCATCTGTTTTTGAAAAGCTGTAAGGCAGCTTTAAATGTGCTGGTACTATGTTTTTGAACTGGTGGCTGGCCATGCAGGACAGCTGATTTACCATTGCATTTCAACCTTTTTTGTGCTTTGAAGCCTGTGATGCTGCAGTCCTGCCGAATGACATGCTCAGTAACAGAACTTACCAGGCCCACAGGGCCCCTTCTCTCTCATCAAGCATCCTGCTCCTTGGTATAGTTGATCTGTTCACAATTTTCAACAAGCAGCATTTCATTTGGTTTTGTGTCCCTGCAGCTAGAGGTATTCATGATATTTCGCATAGGCAGTCAGGCTGCAGTCTCTGTGGGCACCTGCTCAAAATTTACTGAAATGCTGTGGCTGATGGGGCTGGCATTTCCTTCAACCTTCCAGTTCAGTTTGAAAGGCCACAAAAGATAGTTGCCATGATCCCAGCAGGAAGTCAAGATGGGGAAGGGCAATTTACCAGAAAGACAGGTCCCATTTGAGCCCTTTCCTCTTGTTTATAGAGCAACACCCCATGGGATGTTTTACGCCACCCGAAAAGTGCCTCCTGAACATTTTGGGGTATTAAAGATGCATGCAGAAATGCAAGCAGTTTCAGCCTCAGCACAGGACAGAAGTATTTTACATTCACATTTTACAATGCATATATGCATT